GGGGGACAGGGCCTCTCCCGGCGGGACGGCGGCGGAGCCCCGCGCAGGTAGGTGAAACGAGCGGCCCGGCCTTCTTTCGGGGCCTCCGATGCTTCAGCTGTCAGGACTGTGCTGTCCCCTGGCGCATTCGCCCCGGCCGTGTCCCCGTCCCCGAGATCGCTGTCCTGACCTTGTGTCGCTCTTAAGAGCCATCAGCTGAGAAAGAAGCATTCTGCCCTGTTTTACACCAGTCGTGGTATCTCTTAGACATACTGCCCGTGACACGCTAGAAATGCTGCACTGATACTGGCAGTGGCGAGAGAACTGAGATTTCCCCCACCTCCCCCAGTTTAAAAGAAAAAACGGTCGTGGAAGTAATGGTTTTCATGCCAGAGCCCCAGAATTACTGGATAGCTGACTATCTGTCTCCGAGATTCATGATCCTCTGATGCCGCAGCAATCGTGTCATATAACGATAGCCAGGATTTACTTCACTGACAATACTTTTGTGTTTGTGCAGGGGATTCCAATGTCTCCAAGGTGGTAGCTGATGAAACCACAGTCCTTGATGTCCCTGCTGAGGTGAGGAGGCTGGTCACCAAGCGTTTCCACAGGCTGCAAGAAGAGGAAAGCACAACTTCCGAACATGACTCACAGCAAGCCAAGGTGCTGAGGACTGAGAATCAGCACCCTGAGGCCATCTCAACCATTAAGGCCAATGGCAGGTGCAAGGAAGAATTGGATGAGGGTGCGAATCCCGAATCTGCAGCAGAAAAAGTCAAGATGGGGCATAAAGAGGCATGTCCAAAAGACCTGGATCTGTCATCACCCTCAAACGGGGTTCAACTCAGTGCTCGCTTGGATGGCAACCCATGCAAGGTGCATGCTCTGGCCAGCCAGCTCCACAAGTGCCTGCAGGACTGTGGAGGCCGGACAGTTGGGCAGGAATCCCAGCATCCCAGTCCTTCTGAAGGAGGGAGTGTAGAGACTTGTGAGAAAGAGAGCAAAGCTTCCAAAGATTGCAAACCAGCATCCCCAGGGCATGGGGAAAAAGGCACGCTGGAGGGGCCTGAGGAGCAGGAGGAGTATACGGAGCTGGTGGAGGGTCATTCTGGCAGCCCAGGCCCCCCACCAAAAGCTCTGTCGCAGAAGGAGATGATCAAGCGCAGGTACCGCTGCGGGGAGTGTGGCAAAGCCTTCCTGCAGCTCTGCCACCTCAAGAAGCACCGCTTTGTCCATGCTGGCCACAAGCCCTTCCTGTGCACAGAGTGTGGCAAGAGCTATAGTTCAGAGGAGAGCTTCAAGGCCCACGTGTTGGCCCACCGGGGTATGCGGCCTTTCCAGTGCACCCAGTGTGACAAGGCTTACCGCACCAAGCGAGACTTGCAGGAGCACCAGGTCCTGCACACTGGCCAGCGCCCCTTCTCCTGCGAGCAGTGTGGCAAGGCCTTTGCACGCCGGCCCTCTCTGCGCATTCACAGGAAGATCCACCTGGCCACTGGGACTGGCCCAGCTGGTCCCAAGGGATGCCAGTGTGCCGTATGTGGACGCCGCCTGGCCAACCCTGGCTCCTTGCGCAACCACATGCGCCTGCACACGGGGGAGCGCCCTTACGCCTGTCCTTACTGCGGCAAGGACTTCCGACAGCAGAGCAACCTGCGCGAGCACCTCCGGCTGCACACGGGCGAGAAGCCCTACAAGTGCCGCTTCTGCGGCGATGCCTTCCCCAAGCTGCCGGAGCTGCGGCGACATCTCATCTCCCACACGGGTGAGGCCCACCTGTGCACCGTGTGTGGCAAGGCGCTGCGGGACCCCCACACGCTGCGTGCCCACGAGCGCTTGCACACAGGCGAGCGCCCTTTCCGCTGCGAGCAGTGCGGCAGGTCCTACACCCTGGCCACGAAGCTGCGGCGCCACCAGAAATCCCACCTGGCTGACAAGCCCTACAAATGCGAGCTCTGTGGCATGGGCTACACCCTCCCCCAGAGCCTTGCGCGCCATGTGCTTACCCACAAGGAGGAAAAGGACCCTGAGGAACTCACCAGTGCAGTGGCCTCGTTTGCTGTGGACCTACCCCAGGCAGCAAGGAAAAGGCCTCAGAGGAAGAGCCACCAGGAGGAGGTTGTGGCAGAGCCCACCTTGCTCATGGTGGAGGTGCCGGGGCCAGCTAATGAGGCTGAGCTGCTGATCACAGCCAGCGGTCACTGCATCGCTACTTACCAGTCTCGAGGCAGCCCCCCAGACCCTGGGGCGCACGGGAGGCCTGCTGAGCATTTGCCATCAGCAAAGGACATCATTGAAATCACCATCTCCGAGCATGAGGACAAGTGCATTATAATGCAGGACGAGGGCTCACCAAGTGACGTGGTCATCATCCAGGAGGGGGTGGGCCTCGGAGCAGTGGCAGAAGTGGTGGAGGTTGAGACTGGGACGTGACTGTCCCAGCCTGCTCTGGCTGATCTTCTGCTGTACGTATTAAAATGGGAGGAAAAAAAAAAAAAACAACAATAAAAACCCTAACTCTCTTGTCTCTCTGTGGCAACAAGGCCCTGTGGCTCAGACCCGGCCAGAATTAGCCATCTTGGAGGTAGCTGCCTGCGTAGACCTGGGTCTTTTCGGTAGCTGCCCCTGGGAGCTCTATGCCTCCATGTGCCACATGCCGGGCCTGGTGCAGGAAGGCGTTGGCTGTTGATGGCAGTAACTCCTTGGAGAGGAGACCCGCCGCGTTAATGAGCAGCGCTTCTGTTCTGCCTCTGTTGTGCTGTCAGGGGGTGACGGTGCACAGTGGGGAAGGCAGGAAAAGTCTCAAAGCAGCAGCTTTGAACAACGCCTTCCTTTCAAGTTTTTCTTTCTCTAATTAAGTGTCGCTATTCACGCACTTTCCTGGGCTTTTTTACTCTTGGAGCTCAGCAGCACTTCTGATCATTTGAAGGTGATGCTGATGCCAGACGTTGCTGGGAAGCAGTGTCCCAAGTGTTTACAAGGTGTCTGTGTTGTGGGTTATTTGAAGAGCATTCTTCACAATTGGCAGAAGCAAAGTCCTGCCTCCGAGCTGGGGCTGAGTGTTCCTTCCCCACTGTCACCTGTTTTGCTTGCTGTCAGCTTCCTGGCCTTACAGTGACTGGATGGTCTGCCTGAGGACACGAAAGGATAGCTTTGTGTCTCACTGTGCAAATTCCATTGTATAGTGCAATTTTCACTGTCCCCAGCCGAGAGGCTCCTCTCGTCTCCAGGTAAGGGTCCAACAGTTCATCTCAGTATGCTCAGAAGATTTTGCTTTTCCCCTCCATGTTCAAGTTGGGTTCACTAATCTGTTTCCCTTGTTGTTTATTTCACATTCTTGCTTCCTCTCTTCCACTTCTTTCCTGTTCCCTGCAGCAAAAAGCTAAAAGACAGCACCACCACAGCTACACCCCAATATTCCCACTCCTCCATCTTTAGTGCTCATTTGCCAGCTGAAGGAAATTGGTCCTGTTTCAGGAAGGAAGTGCAGTTGCCAGTGCTGTATGTATGTGGCCTTATAGGGAGAGACCAGCGATACCAGCCCACACAGAGGTCTTTCAGGCTTGCCCAGCCTCCACCCCCTTTTCACGCGTTATACAAACACTGCTTTCATTTGCTGCATCCTCAGTTTTAGCTCTTCCTGGTATCCATCTTGCCTCTCTCTAACATCTGCAATTCCCCAAAAAAAAGTTTTGTTTAAGGGCCTAAATTCTCTGGGCTTTTTATGCCGACCGCACAAGAGGAGGGTATAGTGTCACCAGGGAATCATCAGTAGCACAGTTCCGTTTTGGGCTGCTATGAGTGCAGTAACGTCACAATCTGAAAAGCTGTTCTTTGTAGTTTCTACATTCAACTTTTTCCATAAACTTTTACGACCAGTTTGTAGACAAGGCGCTAGAGTCAGACCCATTATGCTTTGGTTGAAGTGAGGACGGAAGGTGAATCCAGCTAACAAACTTTTGGGCATCCTTATTTTTAGCTATTTTCTTTAAAGCCAGGAGGCAGATGAGCTCAGTCCTTGCCCAGAGTGCTTGGAGAGGGACCAGCGGGAGCACAGGCGTGGGAGGGGGACCTTGTATTTGAAGCTGCAGCGCTTCCTAATGCTCTCCCTTTGGTGCCCGTCGAGCTTTTGCAGTTTTCAAATATTGACACAGCTGCAAAGTGTTCTCGCTGGAGCTGAGCCCCTGTGCTGTGTTTGAAGCGTGTGCCCTCTGTCACAGCAGAAGCGGGAGAGAAGGGGGAGCAACTGGGGGGAGGGAAGGGGAGAATCCAAGCCCCTGTTGCTTTATCTGCTGACCTATAACTACCTTCTTTATTCTGAGATAGTAGGAGAGAAAAAGTATGAGCAATTCTGAATTAGGAGGGCTTCACAGAAACGCTACTCACCTAACAGTTGATCTGAGTAGGTAGGGACAGGTCTGTGCTGTGCTGCACGTATCACTTGGCTGCAGGATACTTAGCCGGCTAATCCTGACCGAGGAGCCCATAGGTGGCTCCCACTGGGCACCTGGTGATGATGCCACCACTGTGTCTTTGTCTTTATCTTCGAGGCAGCATGTTCTTATGTGAACAATCTTTTGCTTGACAGCAAAACGATGAATAAAGTTGTTTACTGCTAAGAAAATCCTATAAAAGCCCCGAGCACAACGATGCTGGTGAACATCAACGTGGATGGGGTCTGTGCAGCATGCCATGGCCTGACTAGATATCTGTACGATGCTGTACAACTTGGTGTTTGCAGCATCTGAAGGGGTGTAGGATTACCTAATGCTATATACCCTTTTTAGTATTATGTCCAATAAATGGTATTTTAATTAATATGTTATGGGCTCTGAGTGCCTTTCCTACTGGGATCTGTAACAAACACTTGCACCGGTGCATTACATTTGGTGTAGCTGGCAGGATCCTGGTGAGAAGTGCCTCACGGGAAGAAGGACAGCAAGGAAAAGGATGGGTGCCTGCCTGGTCCCATACGCTGGCATAGGGAACGTGCAGTATGCCGCATTATAACGCTGATCGTTGTGCTTCAGGGCAGTAGACACGTGGATCACCTGGCTGGCTGGAGATCTTGTGCACCTGTGACCCTTACGGCATCAGTCAGCAAGCACACAGGTCTCCTGGCTGGTGGGGCTCCACCATCCCGGCAGGGCTTCACCAGGACACTGGGGTGCTGCTGCAACGCTCCAGGGCGGCAACGGCACAGGTCTGTTGGATGGTTGGGGTCCTTCATGTTGGCAGGGCCCCACCAGGTATCAGGCATGCACGTAAACTTAACTGTTACACTTAAACCTCGCACAACAGCCAGGGTTCAACCCTTGGCCAACTTCTAAACTGGCTTAAACCTGACCAAGGTGTCTGAATGAAAAGGTGGCAGCAGGCTGTGAGGTGAGGGGGCAATTCCATCGGTCCTGCAGTCCTCCCCGCTTGGTGGCTGCCCCATCCTCAGGGACAGGAGAACCCCCGTGTGAGGGGATGGAGGATTCATCCTTTGTAATTGTACCCAAAGCGTTACAGTTGGGGTTCACGCTGTATAACTCACTTCAGGAAAAATATTCAGAAATGTCCCTACTCTATTGAACCAGCGAACTGCATCTGTCATAGAGCAGACAAAGCCCCAAGAAAACAGGCCAAGGCCAAACCCTCTGTACTCCGCTCCCTGGAACTTGGGAAAATAGTTCCATAGGAAATAAAGAATTGCCAAAGGCTTACTTCACTTAAAGAGAAAACTCAACTCATAGGGGGAGAGAGATCAAAACTCCCAGCTGTGTTGAAAGTTGTAACTCTGGGAGCATAAAAGTATGAATCCTAATTCTCTTACCTTAAGAAAGAAAATAGCATCCATCTCTCACGGATGGGTGAAGGCAGGGAGAAAATGAAATAATAAGAAGTTGCTTACGGGAACGGTGAACAGATGGAAGAATTAAATGCTTGAGGGGTGGAAGTCAAAGCCCCTGGAGAGGTGATAGCTGATGCACGCTGTCCTGCTGCAGAGGCTAACCACAAGAATGGAAGAAGCAGAGGAGCCCTAGAAGCGCCTTACAGAACAAGAAAAGGCTATAATGTGAAGAGTCAGCATCTTTAATTACTATCATTGTTGTAAGATACCAGAAAGGGCTGGAAAATGTCCCAGGATGTAGTAAAAAATCTCCAATTATAAAGCAAAACCAATGTAAAGGAATAGTCAAAACTTAAGTGATGGATGTAACCTTGAGCAATCTTGGGCTAAAAGGTTTCAGCGGTTACAGTTAACAACCTAATGGCTCTGGTAGGTGGGTTTGTCCTGTTTCACAGAGGGAAAGAAGAAGGGCAACTGGAAGAGAAGCAGCCAGGCACAGTGACAGAATGGTTGGTTTCAGTAAGGTTTTTCTTTAAACGAGTGCTTAAGCAACAGAATGAATGTAGGAACCAGAACAGAAGTAACATGAAAGGAAGAAGGCGTAGGTAAGTGCTACAGGATATTCACACCTGTCTGATAACCAAGCGTAACTGCTGTATTCTAGTGTTGCTTAAAGTTAACCCTATATAATACACAATGCCATGAAAGATGTTAACGCCTTTCCTTTAAAGGAAAGACAAGAAGACGGTGAAAATCTATGCATAAATATAACAATGTTGACTTAAGCTGCAGTGTAAAGGCTGCCTGGTTATTATAAAGAAGAGACAGAGAGAGATGCAGGAATTAAAAAAAAAAAAAAGTGACTGAGAATATGGAAGTTCTTATGATGTGAAATACTCTGGTGATCCGCGTAAGAAGTTGACATGGGAAGATGCAGGCCAGTGCTGCACATACCACTTGGCTGGATAAATTTAGCCAGCTAAACCTAACTGGGGAGCCTGCAGGTTGCTTCTGCTTGGCACCTGGTGATGATGCCACCACCCCGTCCTCATGTTTATCTTGGAGTGAAGCAGCATATTCTTATACGAACATCCTTTTATTGACAGCAGAAATGACAGAGCTGTTTACTTCCAAGAAAATCCTATAAAAACCCTGAAGACCACGACACCGGTGAACCTCGGCACAGACACAATCTGTGCAGCGTGGCATGGGTTGATGCTGTACCACTTGGTGTTCCCAGCATCTGAAGGGATGTAAGATTATCTAATACTGTCTCCTTTTGCCTTCTCATGTTATCCCCAACAAATGGTACTTTAATCAATACTTTACAGAGTCTGGATGCCTTTCTTATTGGGAATCCATAATGAACACTCGCACAGGTGCACTATGCCACCATAAAACACTGCAGCATCTGTCTCTCTCATCACTACAACCGGGGAGGGGGGGAGGCTGTCTTCTTACTGTGATATTTCTTCCCTGCATTCACACTCACATGGGATCGTTCAATTACAGCCGGTGAAAGCCTGGACATCACTTGACCCACCTGCAATGAGAGACCAAAACCAAATTATCATATAGAGAGTAAAGCAACTGTCCT